TAGTCCTAGAACCCACAAGGGGAGAGGTAATTCTTGATTTAATCTTAAATGGAGCACAGGATCTGGTCAAAGAAGTGACTATAGCTGACAGCTCAGCCATAGTGACCATAATATAATTAAGCCCCCACAATAGCACTTAGCTTCAAAAATAGGAACTACACAAAAATGAAGAAGCTAGTTAAATGGAAGTTAAAAGCAACAGTCAAAAGAGTGATGTGCCTGCAAACTACATGGAAACTTTTTAAAAACACCATAACAGAGGCTCAAAAAAAAAAAAAAAAACAGTAAAAAGACCAAAAAAAAAAAAAAAATAATTCCACCATGGCTAAACACAGTAAAAGGCGATTAAGAAGCAAAATGGCATCCTTTAAAAAATTATAAGTCAAATCCTACTGAGGAAAATAGAAAGGAACAAACTCTGACAAGTCAAGTATAATTAGGCAGGCCAAAGGAGAATCTGAAAAACAACTAGCAAAAGACAAAAACTAAACAGCAAAAAGAATTTTAAGTACATCAGAAGCAAGATGCGTGCCAAAAAGTCAGTGGGGCCACTGGACAATCGAGGAGCTAAAGGAGCACTCAAGGAAGACAAGGCCGATGTGAAGAATTTAAATGAATTCTTTGCATCAGTCTTCACTGCACATGAATGTGATGAAGATTTCTATACACGAGCAATTCTTCTTAGGTGACAAATCTGAGGAACTGTCCCAGATTGTGATGTCACTTGAGGGGCTTTTGGAACAAATTGATAAAATGAAACAGTAATAAGTCACCAGGACCAGATGGTATTCACTCAAGGGTTCAGAAGGAACTCAAATATGAAATTGCAGTCATGGAATAAGAGGGAAAGTCCTCTCATGGATCAGTAACTGGCTAAGAATTAGAAAACAAAAGGGTAGAAATAAATGGTCAGTTTTCACAATGGAGAGCAGGAAATAGTAGGGTCCTCCAAGAATCTATACTGGGATCAGTGCTGTTCAACATATTCACAAATGATCTGGAGAAAGGGATAAAACAGTGAGGTGGCAAAATTGTGGAAGATAAAATTACTCAAGATAGAGAAAAAGCTGACTGTGAAGTATTACAAAGATTGCACAAAAGTGGGTGACTGGGCAACAAAATGGTAGATGAAATTCAAAGTTGATAAATGCAAAGAAATGCACATTGAAAACTATACATACAGAATGGGGTCTAAATTAGCTGTTACTACTCAAGACAGATTTTGGAGTCAACGTGGACGGTTGTCTGAAAACATCTGCTCAATGTGCAGTGGCAGTAAAAACAGGCTAACAGGTGAGGAATTATTAGGAAAGGGATAGATAAGATTTATTGGAAAAGATACAGAGAAGGGCAATAAAAACTATTAGGGGTATGGAACAGATTCCGTATGAGGAGAGATTAAGAAGACTGGGACTGTTCAATTTAGAAAAGAGACGACTAAGGAGAGATATGACAGAGGTCTATAAAATCATGAATGGTGTGTGGAAAGTTATTTATCCCTTCACATAACACAAAAACCAAGGGTCACCCGATGAAACTAATAGGCAGCTGGTTTAAAAAGAAACAAAAAGAAAGTACTTCTTCACACAGTTCAATCAGCCTGGGGAAATTGTGAAGGCCATAAGTATAACTGGGTTCAAAAGGAAAAAAGAAAAAAAGTTAGATAAGTTCATGGAGGGTAGGTTCATCAATGGCTCTTAGCCAAAATGGTCAGGGATGCAACCCCATGCTCTGGGTGTCCTTAAGCCTCTGACTGCCAGAAGCTGGTCTGGACGACGGGGGGTGGATCACTTGAATTTGCCCTGTTCTATTCATTCCCTCTGAAGCATCCAGCAGCGGCCACTGTTAGAAGACAGGATACTGGGCTAGATGGACCATTGGTCTGACCCACTATGGCCATTCTTCTCTTCTAGAAACCCAATTTTCTGTCAAAAATAATTTGCCAGACCATTTTTGACCAGCTCCAGTGGCAAGTGCTGTAATTATGCCACATATTAAGCTCTGTACTGGCACTAGCCCCTTCAGTCATTACTAATGTGTGCTAAAAATACCTTAGTTGTGAGGATCCTAAAATGTGGCCTGAAGTATAACTGCAGCTGATGAATTTCAAAGTATAGGAAAATGCATATCATTGAAGTGGTGGCTTTATGGTTATTGCAATTTATCGGATTTGCTGATTCTTAGGGTATGTCTACACTACGGGATTAATCCGAATTTAGATAATTCGAATTTGGGAAACAGGTTGTATAAATTCGATTGTGCGCGGCCACACTAAGCACATTAATTCGGTTTTTAACCACATTAATTCGGTGGTGGCGGCCACACTAACCCTAATTCGAATTAACAAAATCGATTTTGGCGCTACTCCGCTCGTCGAGGTGGAGTACAGAAATCGATTTAAAGCGCCCTTTAATTCGAACTAAATGGCTCTGTTGTGTGGACGGGTGAAGGGTTAATTCGAATTAACGCTGCTAAATCCGAATTAATCCCGTAGTGTAGACCAGGCCCTAATGTAGGTGTTTTTGCATACCATCTTTTAGTTTGGTTATTTAAGAAAGGCTGAAGACTGCTTTTTGTAGCTCAGTAAGCCTTTGGTGTAACCTTTGTACTGGCCATCCTAATGCACAGTACTCATGCGTTTTTGCATCAGTACCACAAAAGCTGCAGATCCTTTAAGGATAGCAGGTTCTGCATAAGAAGTTAGTATGAAAGTGAAGTGAGCTTTCTGTGATTAGACACCAAGAATGATTTTCTAGTCTCTTGTTTGAGGGCTGGAGACAGCTGCACACAGAGGGGCAGCTGCAGAACTACTGTCATGGCAATGCTGAAATAATCTCATTACACGGAATAACTAGACAACGTTTTATTACAAGCGAAGAACAGATTTATATTGCCAAAAAAGCTCCATTGTTTGGGAGAGCTGCACACGTAGCAAATGTCCATACTCAGAAGTCAACTGGCACTTCAACCTGGAGTGAAAGGTAAAGGAGTGTTCCAAAAACAGGAATTTAACAGACAAGGCTTCAGAATTGGCTCTTCCAAATGACAGCAGTCTAACCCTTCCAGCTGGGAGCGGAGACTAATCTCAATCACATTACAACCTGTTGTGAAACAGTGTGAACAGAGAATTTGAACTACTGTATTTTCTGTTCAACTTGAGCCAATCTCAGCCAGACATCTTGGCAAAAAACACTCCCACGTAATAAGGAGGTCAAAATTATATTCAGTGTTTTGTTCTTCAGACGCCTTATAAAATTTCCTTTGAGCACATACACTGTACTTCTATTTTGGCTACAGGATAGCTGCAGTGTGAAAGACAGCTATTGGGACAAATGAACAAGTCAGAGGTAACAGCAGAAGTGAACCACTGCCAGGGGTCAGGAAGCATGGCAAGACACCACCAGCTTTAATACTCAGCTTTGAAAGGATAGTCCTTGTGATTTGTGCACCTGAGGAAAAGAAAAAGAAGAAAGGTTATTCTGAAATCAGAATTAAATGCTACTCATGTTGGCATTGGTGCCTTTTTTTGGACCGACAAGAAGGGTCTGAATGGTACACAAGCAGTCCGCACAGGCATTAAGTTCCTACCAGCCTCAAACATATCCAGTTTATGCACAAACTTCCCCAACCCCTTTGCATTTAGGCATTGAGAGGTCACAGGCAGGGAGATCTGAATGCTTTTTAGATTACATTTGTGCTGTGTTATTCAAATGGTAAGTTTTTAGATTTTTGAACAATCAGTTTTGATGTCTGAGCTTGATATTGCAAGGTGCTATGATCTGTATAGAAGTATTAATACTTCATACTAAACATTTCAAACTTCAACACTCAATATCCCTAATGAGATCATGTCCATATTTTAAAGATGGTGGTGGTGGGGGGGGAAAAACAAAAAAAACAAGTCTGGCAGAGAGATCAAGTGAGTTGTATGTGACAAATAAGCTGGACTGCCAGGCTCAGGATTTGGGAATTTAACTCCTAATATTGTGTTAATTTCTCTATATTGCGGTCTCTTTAATTTCATACAGACTAATGCAAGATTGCTTGCTAAATTTGTTATTGTGTTAGAATTCTATTTACAAAAAACCCAAAAGACCCCAAAAAACTTTCACTCAGTTTTGAAAATTTAAGCTTAGTTACATCATTGACCTGTTCTTCAGATGGGACATTAGTAATAAGAATCTGAGCTATTTTAAATTCACCCAAGGCAAAACAACAACAACAAAAAACCCACTATTGTTTAGGCTAAAACAACTTTACTCAGAGCTGTTTGACACTTGATTTGAAACAGGGTTACTGTCCATTTAGGACAGCACCCTTTAAACACACTCAGTTCCAGAGATCATTTCAGAGTGCGACAGAAGAGTGAGAGTACTCTGCATAGGCGTGCGCACGGGGTGTGCCCCAGCACACCCTAATGCCCTGAGCTCTGGCTGGGAAGGCTGCTTCTCCCCCCTCCCCTCCTCAGCTGTTTGCCGGGCAGGCTCAAATCTCCGGCAGGGGCCGAGCGACACACACACACACCCCCCCTATAGGGTTAGGTGTGGGCGGGAGTGCGGGGCTATCAGCAGCAGCACAGCCAGCCCCTGCTTGCCTAGGGCTGCCCTGCACCTCTTGGGCTGGTGGCCATGGCGTCCACGTGTATGGCTGCTCCCTGCCAGCCAGGCTCCACTCCGGCCACAGCAGGCGACTGAAGGGAGCCCAGCTAGGCTAGGGCTGGGTGCAGTGGGAGAAGCTCCAGATACCGGCAGGAGCCATGTGGGGGTGGGAGAAGAAGCCCCAGATAGGGCTGGAGCCACGTGGGGGGAGGGAGTGGGGGTGGAGGAGAAGCCCGGACCCCGGCAGGAGCTGCACTGGGAGGAGGGGGGAGAAGAGGAGAAGCCCGGACCCCGGCAGGAGCTGCAGTGGAGTGGGTGGAGGAGCCACACTGGGACAGGGAGGAGAAGCCCTGGACCCTGGCAGAAGATGTGGGGTTGAAGTCCCCGTCTCGGGAGCCCCAGCCACCCTAGTGGCAAAACTTGCAGGGCTGAAGCCCTGACCCCACTGTGTGTGGAGCTGGCCTGAGCCCCTCCTTCTCCCATCCCGCCTGTGGAGCTGGGGCTGCATGCTTCTGCGGGGCAGTGTTTGGCACCGCGGGGAGGCTAGGACCCTCATCTCATGGTAAGGGGTCCAGGGTCAGGGGGGTTGGATAAGGGGTGGGGGCAGTCAAGGAACAGGGAGCAGGGTGGGTTGGATAGGGGGTGGGATCCCGGGGGGATCGTTAGGGGCAGGGGGTCTCTGGAGGAGGCAGTCAGGGAGCAGGGGGGGTTGGATGGGGCATGGGAGTTCCATGGTCTGTCACGGGG